AACTTTCAGAATAACCTGACCTTCTGAAAATAGTGCCCTGAAAATAGTGTTTTTTAAAGATGTCTTGAGAGGTCTGATGAATCAGTAAGTATGGGAGATACAGTCACCCCTGGGGTCCAAGCATGGAGAAATACTCCTCCTCTTCTGTTTATTTTCACTTAGGTTAGAGGCAGCATTTCCCCTTCTTGCCCCATCCTTGCACATGGTGTCTGAGGTCCCTGTTCTCTCTCTGGGACTGTGGGAAGCAGACTGTCCTCAGACGACAGCTGGCGAGGACCCAGACATGGTCTCCTCCTTTCTCCCCTTACTCTCTTTTCATAGACCTCAGATCCTTCCACCCCTCCTTCCTGCTGTCTTCTCCCAGCTTCTTAGTGTTTCTGAGAAGAAAAACTCATTCTGCAAGTCTCCCACTTTTGCACATGACCTTGTGGTGTTTGTGTGGGTTCAATGCTTCTTTTTGGCTTGCTTGGAGAGAAGTATCTGGGAAAAACACACTTAACTCTATGAGATGTTTCTAACTAAATCAAAGGAGAACACTACAGGGCTATAAAGATAATCCTAATGATTTATTGAAGATAAAATAAGATTAGAAGTAATGAAGATTTACAGTGTCCTTAGATGAGAAGATTAAATGCCACTTACAAAAAAAAAAAAGGTCTATTTTGGGAATTGAGAGAAAGTTCAAAGTGCTGAGCACAGGATTTGCTTGTGAGAGACCTGGGGTCAATCCCTAGCACTACATGGTCCCCTGAGTACTGCCAAGAGTGACCCCTGAACTCAGAGTCAAGAAGAGTATGCCAGCTGTGACCCAACTTCTCCTCCTCCCATTCCACTTTTCCATATTTATTTGTAAATATAGAGGCCCTCCCGTTGATCGTCGATTTGCTCGAGCGGGCCCCGTAACGTCTCTATTGGAGACTTTGTTGTTACTGTGTCTGGCATATCGAATACTCTCGGTAGCTTGCCGGGCTCTCCGAGAGGGGCGGAGGAATCGAACTCAGGTCGGCCATGTTGGCCGCGTGTAAGGCGAACGCTCTACCCACTGTGCTATCGCTCCAGATATATGTGCATATTTATAATGCACACATATACATACTTATTTAGTATAATTCCAATTAAAAGGGATTTTAAGTAAAATTGTAGAAGGGATTTTGTACAGAGGGTAAGAGGTAAGATATGTTTGTCTTGCATGTGGTTGATCTGTCTCTGGTACCATGTCTTGTTCCTTAAATCACTGGGAGTGATCCCCAAAGACAGAGACAGGGGTAAGTCCTGAGGAAAGTTAGGTCTGAACCAAAAAACAAAAACAGCAAACAAAAAGCAAATCTTTCATCTTTCTCTCCTCGATTGCACTAAGGGCTAGACAGGCTGAAGAGTGCATGGTCTTGTGCCCTGAAAACATTTATCATATTTTATTCTCCTCATGATACCAAGGTGTATTTTTGTGAGATGTTATTTGGTTTTATGGCTAGAATATTTAAAAAAATATTTGGTGGGGTTAAGGGTGAGAGGTAATGTTGAAGTAACACAAGTAAAGGTAAGGTAAAGGCCCTCCCATTGATCGTCGATTTGCTCAAGCGGGCCCAGTAACGTCTCCATTGGACACTTTGTTGTTACTGTGTCTGGCATATCGAATACTCTTGGTAGCTTGCCGGGCTCTCCGAGAGGGACGGAGGAATCGAACTCGGGTCGGCCATGTTGGCCACTTGTAAGGAGAACGCCCTACCTGCTCTGCTATCACTCCAGCCCTTTGGTGTAACACAGAAGTACACCAAAAAAGCAGAAACAATTTAAAAATGCTTACTAAGGGTCAGGGAGATATCTCAAATGTCCAAAGCATATGCCTGCATTTGGGAACCCTGGGATCATTCTCTGGCACCTCATGGTCCCCTGTGCACTACTTGGATGCCTCCCGCACCCTCCCCCCCAACACACACACATACAAAATGCTCACTAAAACTTCTCTCCTGTACCTGTTAGAGGAAGGAGATCTGATTGTGTCTTGCCATTCACAGATGACAAGATGATTCATTGTTTATGGAAATAAAAATGAGAAAGTCGATTGCCTGATAGAGCTTAGCCACTTCACCCAGAAGAATCCCACCTTCCTGGCAGAATTCCCCAGAATGCCACTGCAGCTATAATTTGCTTGTTCTACAGAAATTTGATGAATCCTGGCTACAATTTTGCTCCCCTCTGGTTCACATGCCTCAAAGGTACCTGCAAACCCAGGATTTTGCAAGTTTCATTTATGAAGGTGGGATGTAGTAGAAACACACCCAGCAGTGCTCAGGGGCTACTGTTGGTTCTGTGCTTAGGGGTGACTTCCACAGTGCTGGGATAGGTCTGAGGAACCAAATGTCGTTCCAAGATTGGCTGCATGCAAGGCAAGAACCCTAACTCCTGTGCTAGCTCTCTGGCCATGTGTGCTAATTTTTTTTAAATCATATTCAAATGCCATTCTTTATTTTATCTTGGCCAGATGGGAAGATCTGACCATGAGTGGCCATGTTCCCCTGGTCCAACAAGAACATGGCCACAGTCTCTACAGCTCTGCATACCCCTTACCCACTGGTTCACGCCTCAAAGGTATCTGCAAACCCAGGATTTTGTAAGTTTCGTTTATGAAGGAAGGATGTTGAAACCCAAGCACAAAATTTGTAAATCTACAACTGTACCTCATGGTGTCTCACTAATTAAAAAAAAAAATTTTTAAAAAGAAGCGGTGTGGCACTCTGACCCATGTCCTTGTGCCTCAGGCAGTTTCAGTGGTGCTCTGCATCTACTATATCTACCAGGGTTTTCTGAGTTCAATCCAGATAAGAATTAAACAGTTATATAAAGGTAAAGGGGATTTCAAGAATGGTCAATGTCAAAGGCCCTGGTTCATTCTATTCCTAAAGATAGGGACGTGTATGAGGTCATTGCTATAGGTTCCCTTCCTTCTAGTAGTTCTGTGTCCTCTGCTAATGACCTGATTAACACTAACCCCAGATGCCAGGGTGTTGCCAGCACCTGTGGGTATGCTCACTGCACAGTGAGCTTCAGTAGGCACGAAGCTCCTCCCCTTTTCTTTTCTTTCTTTTTTTTTTATTGAATCACTGTGAGATAGTTACAAAGCTTTCATGATTGAGTTTCAGTCATACAATGATCAAACACCCATCCCTCCACCAATGTGCATTTTCCACCACCAATGTCCATAGTATTCTTCCTGTCACCTCCACCCCTTCCTACCCCCTGCCTCTTGTGACAGGTAACTTCCTTCTTTCTCTCTACTTTTGGGCATCATGGTTTGCAATACAGGTATTGAAAGGCCATCATGATGGGTCCTTAGTCTACTTTCAGCATACATCTCCCATCTCGAGGGATCCCTTCAACATTATTGACTTACTGGTCCCATCTCCATCCCAACTGCCTTCTCCCCAGCACATGAGGCAGTCTTCCAAATTATGGAGCCATCCTCCTGGCCCTTGTCTCTACTGTCTTTGGGTGTTAGTCTCATATTATATTCCACAAATGAGTGCAGTCACTCTATGTCTTTCCCACTCTTTCTGACTCATTTCACTTAGCACAATACTCTCCATGTCCATCAACTTATAAGCAAATTTCCTAACAGCTGCATAGTATTCCATTAGGTAGAGGTTTCTTTAACTGTCTGTTAAAGAAACCGTTTCTTTAACTGTCTGTTCTCAGGCACTTGGGTTATTTCCAGATTCTGGCTATTGTGAACAGGGCTGCAATAAACATACAAGTGCAGATGTCATTTCTACTGTGCTTTTTTGCTTCCCTGGGATATATTCCCAGAATCTTAATTTCTAGATTTTTGGCTGCTCCCATTTTCTGTCTTCACACAGCTCTCAGCCACAGGCCAAGAACAACTGTGCAGGAATATCTTGGTTCATTGTTCCAGGAAAGGGTTGCAGTTCGGGTAAGGCTGCACAGAATCTGCATCTATGATAAACATTTTTTAAAGACTTGCCCTTTAAGCCCAAGTTCTCCCTCGAACACATATCTCACTTGCATGTTTCTGTTTCTTTGCTTGCCTATTTCCACTCTGAGAAGCCAGAATCCTCTCTTGAACATATACTTCTGCCATTCTCTCCCCCAGCATCTTCCTAAATAAGTTGCAATAAAAACTTTCCTTTCACCAAAAATTCAAAATAAAATGAAACTCATTTGCCACACATCCCCAGAAAGAAAGAGTTGGGGTGGTTCTGGTTCTTAATTCACCTGCTCTTAGTCAAGCAAGAGGCAGAATCAACTGACAATTACTCTCCACCAAGGCACTTAAAATTCACTATCCTCAAGGTCTGTCTTTACAAATAGAACATCCAGAAAGATGTTGTGGTATTCTTAATCAAATGATAAAGCCTTTTGCTTGGAATTCTTGTGGGACTTCTTGTGTCTGCTGGCTATTTGTTTATATGTATGTAAATGAAGGTCTGTCTATAAAAAGGTTTGATTCAACTAATCGGTCAACATTCTTATTACTTATATATATATATAAAGTATATATCTAAAGATATATAAAGGGAGTTAGGACAACTTTTGCTACATACTCTTTCTTCAATTGTTTCATATTTCATCAAAGAAACATGTCAATGGTTCATGGTTTATCATTAAACTTAAAAATATTCTTTTGGAATTTGGGGTGGAAGGAGACAAAAAAATGATTCCACAGTGTCATTCAGAGGGTACTTTTGACCTCCTTGGCAGCAATAGTGGCTGACAGGAAGCTAAATGCACCCTGATGCTGAATAGATGCATCTTGCCTACAGAGAAATTGATAAGTCAGCTTTATTTGTGTAAAGTTTTCCAGAATCTTTGGTATCAAGCAGAAATGATGTCATTTTTATTTTAGGATTTATAGAAGAGGTATACGTTCCTGTAGCCACAACATCATTTCTACTAACAGTTATCATGCCAACAGCCTTCAAAATGTAGAGGAGTTCTCTCTTTGGAAATGTTCATAATCCTTCTGTGCATCTTTTCTTTTTCAGTATAATAAAGTGTACAAGAACCTAAAGGAGTTTTCTCAAAATGGAGAGAATTTCTGCAAGCAGGTCACAGCCATTCTTCAGCAAAGGTACAAAATGCACATTTGCAATAAGCAAGCACTTCCTTTTAGCTCGCAGTAAGTGATGTGACTAAGGAATGATTACAAGCTGTCCTACTTTCCCCAATACAGTGTGATATTTGCTACATTTGAGGTGGCTTTGAAGAGTGATTTTTCCTCCATTGCACATTTGTCATTTGGGTACCATAAAAATCAGAGAACAACAGGAAGTAATTCTGCCTGGAAAAGCTTCATCAAGTCTCTTCTTTATTCCCCAGACTGAGTTTATCATGCCCTCCTGGGGCCCACTATTATACCTGATGTATACGACAATTATTGCACTTCTCACAATTCTAGAAATTATTGTTACTTTCCTGTCTCCCCTAGGAGGGCTGGGGCTCTGTCTTGCTCATCTTTGTGTGCTGAGCTCTCAGAACCTGGCCTTTTGACTTAGGTAAAGAAAGGAAATGGTAAATAAATGAACAGATGGATAAAGGCACAGTCACATCTACAGGATCATCTACTCATTTTACTAGACGTAAATATGTGTAAAGCCGGACTGAAATGAATGCATTTGACTTAGTCGAGAAAGTTACAAAAATCCCTGCTTAAAAATGGAGGACCCAAGGACTAAATTAGGCGATAAAGGACTTCTTAGTTCATTACCTAAGTCTAATAAACAGCTATAAAGACATCTCCCAGAGAGATGTTGTTTATTTTAAGGTAATCAATTTTAGATTTAAAATATTGTGTTTGTGCAGTGGGAATAAAGGTTCCAGGGCCAACTTCATTATGCATTAGTAAGCAAAGAGCAGAGGAGATCATTAGCTTTATCAGGACAAACAAATCAAACTCAATGAAACAAATTATTTCTATGCTAACAGACAAGTTGCTTTTTTCTTTTTTAATTTTATTGAATCACTGTGGGATTGTTACAAGCTTTCATGTTTGGGTTACAATCACACAATGATCAAATACCTATCCTTCCACAAGTGCGCATTACCCACCACCAATATCCCCAGTCTTCCTTTGTTGTGGCAGCCTAGTTCGGCCTTGAGATTTTGTCGGCCTCTCCTTTCTCATCCTTCTCAGTGCTGCCATGTCGGTGAAGCCTTCAGGGTCAGGTGAATGAGACCAGTTGTAGTTACTGGTTTTGGCATATCGAATACACAACGGATAGCGTGCCAGGCTCTTCCGTGCAGGCGGAATACTCTCGGTAGCTTGCCAGTCTTTCCGAGAGGGATAGAGGTTTTTGGGGCGACCTCTAATCATCCTTGTAGGTGTTACCATATTTGAACCCTATCAAATATGGTATGACAATTCCGGAAGATGGGTATTTAGTGTCTTATGATGTGTCGCGCGGCCGCAAAGGGGCCGCGTGGGTCTGGAAAGCGTCCTGGAGTGTGGCTACGGCTGGGTAGTGGAGGTAGTGTCAATAGTGGAAGTCTGCCAGTGGGGTATTTATCTGGGTAGGGTGGGTCTTCTGTGTGCGATCCGATCCCTGGGTGGTTGATGGAAGCAGACAGGGCAGGGTAGGGTGGGGCTCCTGATTAGAATCCCTTTGTCACCTGTGGTTGGTGGGAGCAAGCAGAGAAACTCTGTTTCTGGGTCCGCCGAGCTGAAGTCCAAGGTCTCAGAGAGTTCCGCTTATCTTGTTCTGTGGGTCTTCAGTCGTGCGTGAGTCTTGGCCGGAGCTGCCACGTCCGGAAAGCGTCCTGGAGTGTGGCGACGGCTGGGTAGTCGAGGTAGTGTATTCGTAACGCCCGCCTGTCCTTCGCCAACTACAAGACCAAGATGACTGCCCTCCGACGTCCTGATGGATCCATCACATCCTCCAGAATGGCAGTGGAGAAGATTATCCATGACTTCTACTCAAATCTCTTCGATAGCCATGTCCACTTGCCAACATACCAAATTCCGCAGGATGGATATGTCGTTCCCAACGTTCTCCTTTCTGAAATCCGACACGCCATTTCGTCGGTAAAGAAACAAACAGCACCCGGCCCAGACAAGGTCAGACCTGAACACCTGAAGAACCTGCCGTCAGTACTCATCAATACACTGGCTCGGCTCTTCACTCGCTACCTGTCTGAATGCAAGGTTCCGTCCCAATGGAAAACCAGCAGGACCGTACTATTGTTCAAGAAGGGAGACATCCATGACATTGGCAACTATCGCCCGATCTGCCTATTGTCTGTCATCTACAAGTTGTTCACTCGAGTCATCCTAAATAGGATTGGCAGAACACTAGATGAAGGACAACCATGCGAGCAAGCCGGGTTCTGCAAAGGATTCAGCACCATTGACCATATCCACACGATAACCAAGCTCATTGAGGTTTCTCAGGAGTTCAAGATGCCGCTCTGTTTAACGTTCATTGATTAAAGAAGGCCTTTGATTCTGTTGAGACAGAAGTGGTCATTGAAGCCTTAGCCAATCAGGGCATTCAAGCCCAATACATCAAGATCCTCCGTGAGCTGTATTGCGGATTCACTACCAGGATCTCACCATTCTACAAAGAAGTGATCGTTGATGTCAAGAGAGGGGTGTGGCAGGGTGATACCATTTCACCGAAACTCTTCAGTGCCACCCTCGAGAACATCATGCGACGACTGGAATGGGAAGGAATGGGAGTGAAGATAGATGGTCGGCAACTACACCACCTCCGCTTTGCTGATGACATTGTTTTAATAACACCAAACATCAGCCAAGCGGCATAGATGCTGGCTGACTTTGACCGTGAGTGTGGAAACGTAGGACTACAGCTGAATCTTACGAAGACAATGTTTATGAGAAACAGCCTCGTTCCTGACGCCCCATTCGCTCTCAACGGAACGACCATCTCCGAATGCAACAGCTATGTGTACCTAGGTCGAGAGGTCAACATGACAAATGACCTGGCACCCGAGCTGCGCAGGAGGAAGAGAGCGGCTTGGAACGCCTTCAAGAACGTCCAAGAAATAGCTAAGAGGATGAAGAACCTCTGGCTCTGGGCACATCTCTTTGATTCCACTGTTCTTCCTGCATTAACATATGCCTCAGAGACCTGGGCCCTATGCAAACAGGATGAGAACGCTATTCAGGTCTCCCAAAGAAGAATAGAAAGAGCTATGCTTGGAATATCACGTTTCACTCAAATGAGAGAAAGAATCCGGAGTTCCGACATCAGTCGACAATCAAGAATCAGGGATGCTGTCTCATTTGCCAAGGTGTCAAAAATCAGATGGGCTGGTCACGTAATGAGATTTAAAGACGACCGCTGGACTAGAGCTGTTACTGACTGATTCCACGGGATGTCAAAAGACCACGTGGCTGCCCACCTACCAGATGGTCAGACTTCTTCGTCAAGATCATGAACGATCGGTTTGAGGCCCTTCATGTTCCCAGAGCGAACAGATGCCATTGGGCTACACTAGCACGCGACAGGGACAAATGGAGACGATACTGGCGCCCGCTCGAGCAAATCAATGACTAACGGGAAGTTAAGTGATTAAGTGAAGTGAATATCCCAGTATACCCCCCTTTCCCACCCTTGCACTGCCTCCATGGCAGACGTGATTCCCCATAATCTCTCTACTTTTGGTTTACAATACAAGCCCTGAGAGGTTATCATGTTTGGTCCTTTATCTACTTTCTGCACACATCTCCCATCCCAACTGATTCCTCCAGCCATCTTTTTCTTAGTGAGCCCTTCTCTATTCCAGCTGCCTTCTCCCCTTTGCTCATGAGGCAGGCTTCCAGCTATGGAGCAATCTATCTGTCCTGTGTTTCTACTGTCCTTAGGTGTCAGCCTCATATTATGTTGTTTTATACTCCACAAATGAGTGCAGTCCTTCTATGTTTCTCCCTCTCTTTCTGCCTCATTTTACGTAGCATGATACTCTCCATATCTATCTATAAGCGAAGTTCATGACTTCATCTCTCCTGACAGCTTCATAGTATTCCATCAGACAAGTTGCTTTAATTCTATGAAAGTGGAAGAGAGAAAGTTAGTAAGGGAGAAAATTTCTTCCATAAGAAAACATTTTTGTGAGTGCGGAGCCAGACAAATGATAAAGCGGCCAGGGTGTTTGACTTGCACAAGGACAACCTGGATTTGATCCCCATATGGTTCCAAGAGCATTGCCTGAACTGATGCTTAGTGCAGAGCCAGGATAAGTCCTGTGCACAGACAGATGTTGCTCTCTCTCCCTACCCCTATCCATTTTTGTCAGTCTCTACAAAAATGAAAAGAAGGCTCATCAATAAATACAAATAAATACAAATAATTTTTTATACAAATAAATCAGGTTACTTTGATTAGAAAGCATTTTCTGCAGATCAGATTAAATCTGTGCTATCTTACCATACATATGGCATGGGTTACACTCCTTTATGTCTTGGTTATTTAGTGCCCCAGTGCTCAAAATTAGTGTCCAGTTTGTGAAGATGGAAGAAAGGTAAGTAGTGGCAAATCATGCTTGATAAACAACAGAGAAATGAATAAATATGGAAGATAGCCTCTTTAAAACAGATTTTTTTTTTCCTTTGTCAGGTCACTGTAACTGCACACCATGGTGCAACCTACGCTTCCTACTAGTGTTTCTCTTGTCGTGGCATCTCAGACTGCCACATGCCCTGGGTTTGCTCATGTGAAAAACCCTTCACCCAATACCTAGAGTGGCAGATAACACTCAATGAAGAAGATTCACTTAGATAGCAAAGGTAGCTAAAGGTATCTTCCATCATAGTTTTACCCCCATATGGGACAAAATTTAGAATTTGAAAATCTAAAGAATTTTAGATAGCAAAATTTGATTAGCAAAATTATGTGCACATCTCTGGGGTGAAAATGGCAAAGCCTCAATGTTGAAAGGACATTTACTACTTTACTGAGACCAAAAAATAATGCTTCATTTTCAGTCATTGATACAGCTGATGCTTTCCGAAACATTTTGCAAGTTAAACTTCTACAATTCAATTCTTTCACCTGAACCAAGATGCTATTTTGGCATTATTTTATCTTTTATTCTTGATCAATGTGCATTTGA